TGAGGAAGTCCTTACCTAAACTAATTGCTTCCAGGGTATTCTCTGCTCTTTCCTGTACTAACTGCAAGATTTTGGGTCTGGTCTGATATTAAGGTTCTTAATCCACTTTGAGTTGATACTAGCACAGGGTGATAGGCATGGATCTAGTTTCAGTTTTCTGTAGACAGACAACTAGTTTTCCCAGCAACAATTGTTGAAGAGGCTGCCTTTTCTCCATTGTGTTTTTGGTGGCTTTATCGAAAATAAGGTGGGCATAGCTGTGTGGATTCATATCTGGGTCCCCTGTTCTGTTCCACTGGTCTGCATATCTGTTTTTGTGCCCATATTTTTATTGCTATGGCTCTGTAGTATAGTTTGAAGTCAGGTATTGTGATACTTCCAGCATTGTTCTTTTTGCTTAGTATTGCCTTGGCTATTTGCAGTCTTTTGTGTTTCCAAACAAACTTTAGGGTAGATTTTTCCGTCTCTATGATAAAGGTCATTGGGATTTTGATGGGAATTACACTGAACATATAGATTGCTTTTGGTAGTACAGCCGTTTTTACTATGTTGATTCTACCAGTCCATGAGCATGGGAGATCTTTCCACCTTTTGTAGTCCCTGGTTTGTAGTTCTCCAAGGGATTGAAAACCAGAATATACAGGACCTCAAAAACTAAAATCCCCCCAAATCAATGAAACAATAAAGAAGTGGGCAACAGAACTCAACAGAACTTTTTCAAACAAATTTAAAAAAGCACATGAAAAAATGCTCACCATCCCTGGCCATAAAACAAATGCAAAACAAAATCACACTAGAATTCCATCTCACTTCTGTTAGAAGAGCTATCATCAAGAACACCACCAACAACAAATGTTGGTGATAATATGGGGAAAAAGGAACCCTCATACACTGCTGGTGGGAATATAAGCTTGTACATCCACTTTGGAAAACAACATGGAGGCTTAAAAAACTAGACATAGATCTGCCATATGATCCAGCAACCCCACTCTTAGGGATATACCCAAAATACTGCAATTCAGGTTGTTACAAAGACACCTGTACACCTATGTTTATTACAGCACTATTCATAATAGCCAAGCTATGGAAACAGCCAAGATGTCTACTACTGGCGAATGGATTAAGAAAATGTTGTATTTCAATACAATCGAATTTTATTCAGCCACAAAAAAGAATGAAATCTTATCATTCGCAAGTAAATGGATGGAACTGTAAAACATTATCTTAAACAAAGTTAGTCAGGCTCAGAAGGCCAAAAATCACATGTTCTCCCTCATATGCAGATTATAGACTTAAAACAAATGTAGTAATATGATTGTACATGAGTCACACACTAAGGGGAGAATCTGCATGGAAGGAATAGGGAAAGGGAAAGAAACAAAAAACTTGAATGTGGTTGATGTGCTTACTATATAGAAGCAAATACAGTAATATATATTTATATTATATAGTAATGTAAACTGGCAGAAGCCACTATGGGAAGGTGACCAGGAATTAGTGAAGAGGTCTGGTAGAGAAAAACCAGTGTGGGTTGTAATACACATGTGCATGGAAGCAATGCTAGGAACCTTTCTGTATAACTATCTTTATCTCAAACTAGCAAAAATGTTATGCCTATGTCTTTTTTTTTATTATCTCTTTTGTTTTCTCTTCAACAAAACTGGAGAACAAGAGGGCAGCACAGGTTCTGCCCAGAAGCTTGCAGGGGGGTGGGGTGTTGTGGATGGGGCCCAAACAATGTATACACATGTGAGTAAATGTAAAAATGATAAGATAAAAAAATAGAAAATGAAACAAAAACAGCACTAGAAGCCAAACAAAACAGGTCTTGTTTGGGGGTTTGGTACCATTGGGAGTGGGGAGGGTATAAGGAAAGGGTATAGGAGGGTAAATATGGTGGAAATATTATGTATACATGTGTGTAAATGGAAAAATGAGACCTATTGAAACTATTACAGGAATGGGAGGATGAAGAATAAAGGAGAATTATGGACGGGTAAATTCACCTACTACAAGTTGTAAGCAGTTTTGTAAATGTCACAATGTATCCTCAGTACACAATAATAAAAAATAAAAGAATGTAATAAGAAAAAAGTTTCTTTCTTGTTGTATAAAATGTTTTCTTGATTTTTTCCTTTATTGCTGTATAGGGTGAGGGTACATTGTGGCATTTACACAAGTTCTTACAGTGTATCAAATATATCATACATACATCCACCTCCTCAGCCATTCTCCTTCATACTCCTTCCCCTGATTTCTGGAGTAGTTTCAACAGATATCATTTTTGCATTTAATTACCTGTGTATACATTTTATTGCACTATATTCACCCTCCTACCTCCTTTCCCCAACACCTCTCCCTCCCACTGGTGCCAGCCCTCCTCTCTGGCAGGACTTGTTCTGCCCTCCTGTTCTCCGATTTTGTAGGAAAAAAAGAGAAAAGATAAAATGAAAAATATGACATTTTAGCATGAGAGAAAGGTAGCTACAGAGGGAGTTTCCTTGATGATATTTCCTTGTATGTATGTATTATACTCCAATTGTTTTATCTCTTCCAATTTTCTTCATTCTACCTTAGTCCCTTTCTTATGGTAGGTTCAGTGAGTTTAAGACTTCTATATTCATTCTTGTATAGTGAGTATATCAATCCTATTCATGTTGTTAGTTTCCCTACCCTTCTTGTGTGACCAGTATTTCATAATATTACTACATTTGGTAGGTCTGTATTCCACAAATGAGAGAGAATATGCTACTTTTGGCCTGCTGAGCCTGGCTAACTTCACTTAAGTTGATGTTCTCCAGTAGGACATCTAGGCTATTTCCATAGCTTAGCTATTGTGAATAATGCTGCAATAAACATGGGTGTACAGGTGCTTTTGTTGTAAGCTGACTCACAATCTTTTGGGTATATCCCTAGAAGTATTGCTGGATTGTATGGGAGGTCTATCTTTAGTTAAGGAGCCTCCATATTGTTTTCTGTAGTGGTTGTACTAGCTTACATTCCCATCAGCAGTGTATGAAGGTTCCTTTTACCCCCACGTCCTTGCCAACATTTGTTGTCATTTGTGTTCTTGATGGTAGCTATTCTAACAGGAGTGAGGTGGAATCTTAATGTGGTTTTGATTGCATTTCCTTTGTGGCCAGAGATGGTGAGCATTTTTTCATGTATTTTTTTTAATTTATTTTTTATTTTTATTTTGTAGCCATTTGGACTTTTTCTTTTGAAAATGCTGTGTTCAGTTTACTTGCCCATTTCTTCATTGAGTCACTGAATTTTTGGGAGTTTAGTTTTTTGAGATTATTATATATTTTGGTTATCAACCTCTTGTCAGATATATAGTTGGCAAAGACTTTTTCCTGTTCTGTGGGTGGCCTCTTCAATTTAGAGACCATTTCTTTTGCTGTGTAGAAGCTTTTTAGTTTGATATAGTCCCATTTGTTGATCTTTTCTCTTAGTTGCTGGGACACTTGAGTTGATGAAGTCATTACCTATGCCTATTTCACCTCTTTTTCTTCTTTGATGACTTTGACTTGCAGGTTTGGTATTTTGATGGAGTTGCTGTGTTCTTACCTGTTCATTTTGCAGCTCTTGGGTCTTTTCTCCAAGAGGTCTTCTGTTTTTTCATTAATATCTATTTTGTCTTTGATCCCTGAGATTCTGTCTTTCATTTTTTTCTAGTCTGCTAGAGTGGCTTTCCACTGTATTTTTTTAAAATTTGATTTAAGGAATTTTTTTTACTTCCAGGATTTCTATTTGATTCTTTTTTCTGAGGTTTTCCAGATCTTTGTTAAACTCCCCTTCATATCTTGTGCTGTCTTCTTTATTTCATATATCTCTTTTTTTATCATTGCCTCTGTTTCACTTTGAAGTTTGTTGATGTCCTCTCTGAGTTCATTTAGTTGTTTCTGTGTCTTATTGAGTTTTTTATTTGTGGTACCTTGATATTCTTTGAGTTTGTACTGTATGTTCTGTTTAACTGACTCTTGTAGCTTCTCCATGAGTATCTCAATGAGCCCATTCATGATTTCCTCTTTGAGAATTTTTTATGGACATCATTGAGCTCATTGGTCATATTTATTATCATTATGTTGGGGCCTGGAACTGGGTATTGATTTTCTTCTTTTCCAATTAAATCGTCTATTGAATTGTTGGTCTTTTGAAGGGTGTTTTTTTCTTGCTTTCTTCTTCTCCCCGTACTTCTATTTTGTGCTGTGTTCCTATGTTATTGATTTGCTAGTTGGGGGTTTTAATCACCTATTATCTTTCCCTTGACTTAATTACAGTGTTGTGAGTGGCTAAATTCCTGTGTTGTGACTGACTTAGCTACATTGATGTGCTGTTTTGTCCCTAACCTGGAAGTGTAAATTAGCAATAACAAATTCACAGGTTCAATTCGAAACCTATTGCTTACATATTATATAGAGTATTCCTTGGTGATAATATTTATAAGCAGTGGGAATTGGGGGGGGATAACAGTTGTTTGGATAGAGATAGATACTTGGGTAACTTTAAAAGGTGGTACTAGAAGGGAGGCAGAAAGGTGTGGGGGGGAAGAGGTAGGGTTTTCGGGCCCTAGTGTGTGTGTTAGTGTGCATTTCAGTTGTTGTAGTGGAGGACGTTTGTGTCAGGGTTTGCAGAAGCATGGGGTTTGTAGGATTGGTACAAGTAGACTAATCAGAAGGTGATAAGTGTGGAGGAAGGAGAGCTAATCAGATGAAAGGTAAGGGAAGGTGAGGAGCAGGAGGTGAAGTCAGGGGAGAGAATGTATGAAAAGGGCAGAAAAAATGATTGGGAGGGGGAGAACAAAGGATTGTAGCACAAGTAAAGGAGAGTGAAGGGAGCAAGAATAGAGATAAGAAAATAGGAATAATAAATTAAAAATACTAAATAATAGGGGAAACATTAAGAAAAAATAAAAAATAGGAATTAAAATGAAAAAATGGAATAAAGTAAAACAATAACAGCAACAAAATAAAGTCAGTTTGGTGAAAGTTTTGGACTTATTCCTTTGGCATCAAATCCAGGTACTGGTGCTTATGACTGGGGCTTTCTCAGTGTCCCTGTCTCTTCTCAGGGTTGGTATTCTGGACTGTGTGAAGAAGGGTGCTGCCCCTCTTGTCAGACAGCTTGTGGGGGAGTTGGCTGGGGCTTTTTTTAGTCCTATTTTGCTTGGTCTGATGGGCTGTCTGGTGCAGGCGGAAGCTCTGAAGTGGTGTCACCAGAAATTTGACTTGTGAGCAATAGTTGACTATTCTGCCCACAGGCTGGTTGCAATTAAGGTCTGTGATTGCTCACTACCAAATTGTCCAAGGTGGACAGATCTGTTGCTGTTTGTGCCAGGTGGCAGCAGAGTCGCTTCACAGCCACAACTCTGACTGGTCAGCAGCATCCCCCAACAAGGTGAGGCAATTCAGTTTTGTGAACCACCCACAGTCCCCTAGGATTAGCTCAGTGATTTGCCACTTCCCATTCTGGGACGGTGCCTCCTTGCTCCATCTCTGCTCTTGGAGATTGTTTCAGCAGTTTCACCCCTCCCCTGCTACAGTAGTAAATTATATTCACTTCTATGTCCTTCAGTTTTGTTTGGGGTGTGCATGTGTGTGTGCAATCTGCTCATGAGCTGCACTTGATTATGTTCCTGGGAGGATGTGTGGTGTGCAGTGTTCACCTGTTGTGTTTGCAGATTTACACTGGCAGATTTGGATCTAAGTCAGTGGGGAGAAATGGTGGGTGACTTTTCCCAAGAGAGACACACTGGGACTGGGTCCAGGCTGGCAAGCATATGTAGGTTTTCCAAGGGTTGGGAGTCCAGTACCTCACAGAGTTCAGTTTTATTTGGTCCTCTGTATACTGCTTTTTACAAAAACAAAAAACAACAAAAAACAAAACAAAACCAAAAGGGGTTGGGAGGAGAGATGGCCAGTGGCTTTTCTAAAGGTAGACACACCCCAGTGGCTGTGCCACACAGGGATTTCCCTAGTTGTTAGGTATAATTAAAAGTTGTTTTAAGGGTCAGTCCTTGAATTTTACATGTGCCCTATGCATTGGTGGATGTTTGGTTGGGTAAAAACAGTCAGGATTATCAAATGTACCTACCATCACTACAAGTTGTTTCTGAAATTGTGGATTCAGGAATTCTGATTCCCTCTCCTATCTGTCATCTTGGATCTCCCCTGTTTTTTAATTTTTTTTGTACTTTAAAAGCATTCTGCATTTGGTTTTAAATTGGATTGCCTACCTTTCATTAGTCTGACATCTTTCAGCATGTCAAACTGGCTTTAGCTAGTAGTACCTCATTAAATCCTGAATAAAATTGTTTTCATTAATTTTGAGAAAATTTCAATTCTGAGAAGGAGTACATATGTTTGTAATTTAAAACAAAATGAGGGCTAATGTTTAATGCTTTATACACCCTTCTCCTCACACAGAAGCAGGAATGTTATTTTCCTGACTTAGGTATGCACACACACTCATGCATATACATGCACACACACAAACACATATATACACACACCTCCAAACAACAAAATTCAGAGCCTGCCAAATGTAAAGATATTTTATGGTATAAACTAGAGTCAATTATCTGTCTAAATTTGGAGGGTAAGATGTTCTGATCTTGAGTTTATGTTAGCAGAATCCATTGTCATGTTCAGAAATAAAAGAATTTTGGATAATACCATCATTTTTTACTTTAAAATTCTAGAAACAATGTCAAAAGGTATTATTTTTCATTTCCTGTGATACAAGAGAAGAGAATCTATGGATTTTCATTTACTTGAAAATCAAAGCTGGAAGTAGGAAGTATGCAGTTCACATAGCTGGCCAATGTCTGAGGTGTTACTATTGTGAGATGAGGTCCCAGGCCATTCTTACTGGCTTACCTGATGCTAACAAAATGGGAAGCTTATGGCTGTGCAATGCAAATTCAATCAGTGCAAGCTGAGTCTAAACCAGTGATCTAAGCCATAGAAGCAGGGCATTATTAAGTATATAATATTTAGATGAAAAGAGTGTAGGTGCCCCAGATGATGCTCCTTCACTGACTTTGTCGATGCAGTTTTTCTAAATAGACTCAACTGAATTCAGCAGAAAATCTGTTAAAAAAAATCCTAGCACACCACATCACAAGCAACACAGTCTATTTGCTACTCATTGAATTGCTTAATGTCTTTCTTCTAATCTGTGATAGTGTGTGGACACACACTGGGCATTTCTGGTTCATGACCAGGGATTTTTTTTCTTATCTCAAATAGAACTGAGTGAGAATATAATGAACAATCAGTGGTAAAACTGCATAAATAGGGCATAGTTTGGAAAATAACTAACATAAACATTTCTTACAAATACTGTGTATCTGCTATTAATAATTTGACATTTAGAGTACAAATAAATCCTAAAATAATTGTAACCTTCTAGCATTTTCTGATACATTAGACAGAAAGGCAAAAGGTCATAATTGTACAGTTTGTAGAAAATGTGGTAATGCTCTTCCCAGATACATTTTTAGTGATGGCCTGGAGTTGTCCTCCTCACAAAACAAGTTTGTGGGATGATGACTTACTTCATTGGATGGGAAGCAGAAGAAATTACTCTCAGGTAAGTTATATGAGCAAACATTTCCCTAGGAATTTACCAAAACAAAGGCTCTTGGCTATTTTGCCTAATATTTGATCAGAGATTTGAGGAATATAAACAAACATGAGCACACATCATCAGTAAAAACTAAAAACCAAGAACCTACTAGACTATACACGTGTGTGTATATATACACACATACATACATACAAACATACATACATATATATGCATATTTATACATATGATCTAGGTGGTTTATTTTCTTAATGTGCCCACATGGGCTAAAGGATGCCTGACTGCATGCACATCTATAGAAGCAAGGAATTTTTCTGTTCCATCTACAATGTGTATCAGGGGAAGGTAGAGGGTAGGAGAAAGGAGAGAAAAGGGGAAAATATACCTTTCATCTCCCAGATCTCACCACAAGGAGGTCTATGTGTGAAGCTAATGGAAGAATGTGTTCCCAGGCAGATTAATATTCTACACAGGCCAATACTATAGTGATTTTCCTTGGGTACCTATTTTGAAAAAGTTAAAAGATAGGAGATTTTGAAATTATTCAATGCTGGCAGAAATTAAAACTCCAAGATTTGCAGCAAAATCATTTTTCAACTAGACCAACTAGTTAATGCAAGACAAGACAAATAAGGACCTGGCTAAAAAGATCCTTGTGCCCAGCAGCAACTCCCAGCTCACAAAAGAGGTAAGATTCTAAAGTAAAAGCAGCACAGAAACATACCACTTACACTTGACCAACTCGACCCTCAACCCCCCAAATAATACTTACTTGTACAATAGGAGCTACAAAAAACAACAGCTAATTTTCCTCTGTCTGAGTGGTCTTGGGATCAACTATGCCCTGAGCACATGGACAAATGTTAGGCCACTGGTATCCCCACTCCAGTGGTGAGAAACTATACCCCAACCCTGTCACTACACAGTTCTTCTTGAACACTGACAATACTTCAACTGAACTAATACAGGTGATTAAAATCTTCAATCAATAACTTGGCCTCAAATGGGCAAATCCCAAGGTAAAAACATACAAAAATATTTTTTAAAGGCAGCATGACTCCTTCAAAAGACTATTACTTCACAAGAATGGGCTCTAATGAAAGAAAAGTGGATGAAAACCCAGAGAAAGAATTCAAAAGAATGATTATAAGAATGGTCAGGAAAATTAAAGAGGACTGTATGAATACCTGAATGAATTCAAAGAGAATAAAAATAAACAGCTCAATTAAGTAAGAAAGAATGCAGGACATGAAAGACGAATTTAATAAAGGCACAAAGAGCTTGAAAAGATCACATTGAAATCCTAGAAATGGAGGGGGTGGGGTAAGTGGTAAGGGAGAGAGTGACAGGGGGGAGAAATGACCCAAGCATTGTATGCACATATGAGTAAAAAAAAAAAGTCAATCAAAAAATTCAGTTGAAAGTCTACCCAATAGACTAGATCAAGATGAAGATAAAATATCAGGGTTTAAAGACAAGGAAGATGAATTAGAACATTCAGACAAAGATAAAGACAAAAATAAGAAAGTACAGATGAACATGCAAGACTCCTGGGTCACCATTAAAAGAACACACCTATAAATCATGGGCATAGAAGAAGAAGAGGTACAGCTAAAGGCATAGAAAATACATTCAATAATGAAAGAGCAGAAATTTCCCAAATCTTGAGAATGAGATGGTTATCCAGGCACAGGAGGCTTTTAGGACACCAAACAGACAGACAAGAAAGGATTTTCCTCATGTCATATTATAGTTAAAGCATTACGTATGTAGAACAAGGAAAGGGTATGGAAGGACACAAGGGAGAGATACCACACCATATATAAAAGCAAACACATCAGAGTAATAGAGTTCTCAACAGAAACTCTAAAAGTAAGAGGGCAAGGAATGATGCATTTCAAGCCTAGAAAGTAAACAACTGTCAACCTAGATTATTGTATTGAACAAAGTTAACCTTCACAATTGAAGAAGAAATGAGAAAAACCTTCCTCAATCAAAAACTAGAGTAATTCATGACTATTATACCTGAACTATGGAAGATATTAAAAGGAGTCCTACAACCATGACAATACATGAAAGAATACATCTCACATGATGAGCAAACAAATGAAGAAAGAATCAGGACTACAAAAACAAAATGATAAGAATTATTGCAGACCTGAATGTCAATGGTCTCAATTCTCTAAATAAAAGACATATGTAATAGCTGGGCATGGTGGTTCATGCCTATAACCCAGACATTCAGGAGGCAGAAATTGGGAGGGTTATGGTTTGAGGTCAACAAAGGAAAAAAAGGTAGTGAGACCCCCACCTCAGCCAATAAAGCTGGGTGTGGTGGCATGTACCTGTCTTCCTAGGTCTGTGGTAGGTGTAAGTAGGGAGACTGCAGTTTGGTTGGCCCAAACAAATGTGCAAAACATTTGAAAACCAAGTAAAGCAAAAAAGGATGGGGTGTGGCTCAAGCTTTAGGTTGCTTGCCTATCAAAGTGAAGTCATAATTTCAGATCCCAGTGCTTTCCCCCACAAAGAAAGAAAGAAAATAGAAATTAAGGTGGTGGATTAGAGACACATTGCGATGAGTGAGAAAAGCCAAGGTAATAGGGAAATAGCATACTTTCCATCGTATGCTTAATCTAGACCTAGGTTATCACTGTGTGTTGAGTATGTGATAGGCAGATAAATTGACCACTTAGTGCAAAGATGGTCAGAGCTAATGACATCCTATTTAAAAAGTCATGTCTAAAAAGTCCCATCTGTACTTTGTCCTGAGTTAGATGAAAAAAAAAAAAAAGACTTTGAGCTGATGCTTTATTGAGATGAGATTTTAGGATTTTGGGGAGGACTTGTAGCTATACTTTAGAAATGCAGACAATGTTAATTGTTAGTAATCAGAAGTGGGATTTGGTGAAATAAGGATGTCCATAAAAGTCTTGGACACTCTTTCCTTGGAGATGGGTCAATTTCCTCTTCCCATGAAGCTCAGCTGGCCTGTGACTATTTGCCAAATAGAATACGGCAGAAGTTATGTCAATGCTGGTCATGATTATGTCTTTGAGATAACTGGCTGTTTTCTCCCTGGTTTATTGTTCCATGAAAAAATTTGACCCAAGGCTTCCTTGATGAAAAACAAATGTTCACCATATGGGACAACTGGATAAGGACAGAGAGAAATAGAGAGGCTTTGTCACCTCCCAGCTGATCCATGCCCGGCTATTGAAGTTATTGCAGGGCAGGCCTCAAGAGATTAAGGAGCAGAGTTAATTCTTCTTTGCTGTGCTGTTCCCCTTTCTTATCCACAGAAGTAAGTAATATAATCATGGGACTGAAGCTATTAAATTTTCAGATCCTAGTGAGTTATGAGACAACAGATAAGCAGAGCCCTATGTGCTTCTCGATAGTTCACAAATTCCATTCAGATTGGATTTTAAGAGGACTAGAAGAGATGAACTAATTGGGGTTGTCATACACATATGCATGCAAACAACACAAAGAAAATCCTTGTGTAGCTATCTTTATCTCAAAGTAGCAAAAACATCATGCTTCTCTTTTTATCTTTTGTGGGTTTTCTTCTACAAAATCGGAGAACAAGAGGGAGGAACAGGTTCTGTGGGAGAGGGGGTGTTTGGTACTGGTGTTAGCAGGGAGGTGGCAGGGAAAGGGGCAGGAGGATGAATACACATATTATATTACTATTAAACTATTATAATTATTATATTATATTATTATTAATATTATGTGTATTATTATATTAATAATACACATATACAATGTATACACATGTATATAAATGCAATAATGATACCTGTTGAAACTGTTCCAGGAATCAGGGGGAGGAGGCAGGAAGGAAAGCAGTGGAGGAAGTGAATTCAAGTATGATATATTTGATACATTCTAAGAACTTTTGTAAGTGCTACAATGTACCCCCACCCAGAACAACAATAACAAAAATGTCACAACAGAAATGACAGTAGAAATGATGTCTACTAGTATGGGATAGTGCAGAGTGGGAGATGACTTCTACACTTACACACACACACACACACACACACACACACACACACACTCTTCTGTAAATTTAAGTGTATTAGCGGGACAAGGAAGGCTGATTTTAAAGACAAGTCAGAATAAAATTTATTGGATTTATACATGAAAAGAAAGAAAGAAAAGGAAGGACAGAAGAGAGAAAAGAAAGAAAGAAGGAAGGAAAGAAGGAAAGAAAAGATGGAAGGAAGGAGGAAAGAAAGGTGTGGCTTTGATTAGTCAGTCTGGCAGTTTGGAAGGGAACAGTGGGAGGGGAGAGGTGGACAAGAAAGGTTATGGGGGGTAGGGTGAATAGGATTAAAGTACCTTGTATACATGTGTGCAAATGTCATAATGAAACCCATTATTTTGTGCAAAATAGATTAATGCAAATATATTCTTACAGACTTCTACCTAGTTTCTGAATATTTATAAATTCTGTAATCCACTGTCCTCTCAGAGCCAGCAGCTAATTGTAGGAATCTAGAAAGTGATGAACATAGTAGTTTTCATTTATTAGCTCCAGAAATATTTAAATAATTATGACTTCACTGTTTTCAGTTAGTAAAAGTTTGGTGCCAAGTAAGGAAAAGTAAACCAAATTTTGATGAATTTTTTATATTTAACTTGTATGTCATATTATATCATATTATAATCTTTCAAAATAAATACATAAATAATAGAATAAAACAAAAATGTGAAGCATTTTGAAAGTCATCATTTTCCATTTCCAAATGTTGATGTGAAATTAATATGTTAGTGAGTGGATAAATTTCTTCAAACAGCTTCCAATTTTAATAATATTTTACAATAATACTTAACAGTTTGACCAGAGGACTTCTAAAAAAACATTTATGGAGATAGAGGCTCCAGAAATCCTAAGATGAACTATGGGTTACTGTATTTTCTAAATTAAGGAATATAGTGTCATTTGCTTTATTATTTATTTACCTCCTCATGTGAAGAAGAAATGATTACATGCTTCCTATAAATTATCCTTAACTCATATCAGTTAACATTTACTTTTCCAATTGATAGCCATTGTCCTGCATTAAATCTGCAAAATATAAACATTATGTTTTTATTGAACACATTATAGTATGTCAAACTAAATGGAACCTGCCACCTACATGTTATCCATCTATGCAGTATGTGGGTTATATAGACATACTTGTATACTTGATTTCAAGCATAAGAAAGTGTAGCAAATAAATGTTATCATCTGACATCTCTCTAAAAAGTTTAGCGCTAGGATTACCTGGCTCATATTACATTAGTTCAAATTACCCTTGTGTTACCTAAGATGAATTACCAAATATGAATACAATGCAGTTCATAGAGTTTTCTTTCATTAAGTTCCTTGATATACATAGTCTAAACAATTGCAGAAGAAAAATGATTTCACATCTTGGTGTTCTCACTGATGCTTAATTATTTATACTTCAGAAGATTTCTCTAGATTTATCCAATCAGAGCCTTCTTCTGATCATCCTGGTCAAGGCACCCTTCACTTTTTTGTTCCTCAAAGTGTAGATGAGTGGATTTAGAGCAGGAGTCACCATAGTGTACATGATGGCAATGACCCGGTCCTGGTCCAGGGAGCCCCCTGAGGCAGGACGGATGTAGGTAAACAGAACAGGAACATATAAAAGCATAACCACCATGAAGTGGGAGGCACAAGTGGACAGTGCTTTGTGAAGCATGCTGCAGGAATGGGTCTTGAGGAAGAGATGAGTGATAATATAAAAGTAGGAGAGAAGTGTGAGAAAGAAGGGACCCATGGCGATGGTCCCTGTGACAGTATTGAGCAGCTGCTGGTTGAGCTCAGTGTTCCCACAGGCCAGCTCCAGCAATGGCTTAACATCACAGAAGAAGTGATGGATATGGTTGGGACCACAGAAGTTCAAATGAGATGTCATTATGGAGTGCATCAGGGCATGGAAGAAACCAATGGTCCAGACAGTGAGAGCCATCAGGGCACAGAGCTGAGGATTCATGATGACAGTGTAATGAAGTGGTTTGCAGATAGCCACAAAGCGGTCAAACGCCATCACTGCTAACAACATGGCCTCAGTGCTTCCCAGAAAGTGGAAGAAATGAAGCTGGCTTATGCAGCCTAAGAAAGAAATTGCTTTGTTAGTAGAGATGGAGTTCTCAAGCATCTTTGGCACAGTCACTGTGGAGTAGCAGATATCTAGATATGACAGATTTCCCAAGAAGAAATACATAGGTGAGTGAAGTCTTGGATCAGAGATGACAACTGCCAGGATGGCTCCATTCCCAGTCACATTGACAAAGTAGATGGTAAGGAAAACAGCAAAGAGAAAAGGGTCCAATTCTTGGATGTTGGTCACTCCCAGGAGGATAAACTCATTGACTGAGGTTTGATTCACCATTGCCTAAAAAAAGAAGACATAATAATTTGTGAAATTCTATCTGAAATTAGGGTTAATTAGTCTTTCCCCAGGATTTATTGGCAAGACCAAAATATTTTGAGGTAGAATACTGTGTTTTACATAATCTCTCCTCAGATCTTGTGTAGCATTGGGTCCTTAGAATGTTACATACTGAGGCTACATGTCTATTGTGTATTGTGACTCAGCCAATCTTAGAATTAATTATATTTCTCAGTAGGAATTCTGCATAAGTTTCAGCCTACACATCTTCTCTGGTGTGAACATGTATATTATGAAACAATTTTCCTCTCCTTCCTAAATCACATGAACTGGGCAGCAATTTAAAAAATACTCCACTTGGCTAACATCTCTTGACTAATAAGAATTCACTCAAATGATTTTAATTTGATAATAGTAAACAAGGACAAACTCATTACAACAATACCATTGATGAAAAAAAATCTTTTTCACAGAGTAGTAATTTCATTTCTTCATTTAGAGTTAGAGACTTTGATTTAGTGATCTCTTTCTGCCCCAAATCCTTGGAAATATCCTATTGTCCTAATGAAGTAAGACATACTGCCTTACATATCACAGCCTGTCCTGAGGGATGTATAAAACTTTACCACTATGATATCTGATGATGGGCTTATTGTCTTCCTATACTCAGTTATTAAGTATTTTCAAAATATCATCCCAAATGATTTCTTTCATGATAAATTTTGCTTTATTGTGTTTCTATTCCCTGATTGCCTTGACACTTTTGCAAATCTTTTTTTCCAGATCCCTGGACCCTGTTAGGGAAAATTCTTTTCTGTTCATAGTTAACAGAGACTTCCTTATCTACCAGTTCTGTCCTCTCTTCAAAGCATCTAGGGGTTAAATCCCTTTGATATTATGTCTTCTCTTATGATCTATCTTTGTTTCCCTTCCTCTTCCCTTTCCATCCTTTCTTATCCCTTCCCTTTTGTTCCCTTTTTGAGACAGTTTCTCATTCTGTAGCCTAGGCTGGATTTGAACTAGCCACAGTCTTCTTGCCTCCACCTCCTAAGTGCTGGGATTACAGAGAAGAACCACCATTCCTGGCTGGTCTACTTTAAGTCCTATTTTTATTTCACTTGAAATAAAGTCACACTTCAGGTATTAAGGAACTTTACTCTCCTCTCTTTTAACTCCATTAATGAGACACTGGGATTCTGTTATCTTTTATAACCCAGAAGTCTGTCTGCTTCATATCAGTTTCTCTAAAGTTGCCAGAAATTTCCAACTCTTCTTATTGGAAAAATCTATTTACTATATTGCTCTTCCTTTCTAGCAAATAAAAATCCTATTTTTTCCTAAAAGAATGCATCTTTTCACTCCATTTACATAACGGAAAAATAATTTTTTGGTTAATGTTAAAATTTTTTACAGTATAATTTGTTTATCAGCATAACTTAATTATAAAAAGGAGTTTTGTTGTGATATTTACAACATGCATAGAATGTACTTTGACCAAATTCACCCCATGTATATTACTCTTTCTTAACCACCTTCCCTTCTTCCCCTTCTTTTCAACAGTTTTTGCTGGGTTTCATTATGCTATTTTCATAGATATATAATATTTACCCTATTAAAAGTCTTGTGGAATTGTGAGTAAGTAAGTGTTAAAAGGTTTAATATTTGCCAGGCATGGTGGCACATGCTGTAAACCCAGTACTCGGCAGACTGAGGCAGGAGAATTGTGAGTAGAGGCCAGCCTGGAATATCCAGTGAGAATATGACTCACAGAAGAAAAACAAAAATGTTTAATAGTTGAGTAAGTTTGCTGAAAGACAGAAAACTTAGAAACCTTCATTACTTGCAAAGTGTCTGAATTATCTCCTTGAGGTACAAAATCCACAGACATAATTATGTAAAGTAGCTTTCTCTTTTTTCCTTTCATTTAAAGTTGTACTGCATTAGCTCTTATGTATCAGAAGGGAAGAAACAAGCATTTGTGGGAAACAGAATAGGAGGCACTGAGAGAACTGTAAGAAGTGTTAGAAAATTTAACAGAGATGCTGACATTGGGGTGCTTGCTGTAAAAGGGAAATCACTCATGGTTTGAAATCATTGAGGGGAAAAGGAAACAATTTTCTGTAAGTGCAACAAAAAATTAATAAACTAGAGGATATTTCCAGAGATCTCATGGGATTCTAAGCTATATATCTAGGAGATTTTGAGAAATGATCTAACCTCTGTTATATTGCTGTAAAAGATTTCCTTCAAATAATTCAGAGTGTTTGCCTTTGAGGTATACTGAGCATTTTTTTGAGAGAAGTTTTCAAACTTTTATTACTATTTGAGCAAAGTTGCACATATATACAGTTTGAAAATCTAGCAATTGAAGTTTTATTATAAAGTATAATCACCCCTAGTTCTGTGTCTCTCCCCAGATCTTAGCAGGTTATTTGGCATTTTCTGCCTTTCTTTGAATAGTATGCTTGCACTGTTACATCTTCATTATCTTCCACGAGGATTGTACACACATTGTTTTCCCATAACTATGGCCCTCCTGATATAAGAATTTCAAAATATGTAGATCAATGGTTATTACTTAAATTACTGCAATATATAAATGTTCCTCAGAGGTGTGCTATTATAATTTAAACATTACAACTGCTCATTAGCACTGAAATCATACACCAAACATTATTTATGATTCTTTGACCAGAAAACAAAATTTTACCAAAAACTCAGAGCTTTCAGATTTGTTTTGTAGAATGTTTAGAAAATCAGGCACATTGAATTCAGAGGAGATTCACACACACACACACACACACACACACACACACACACACACACACACACAAAATCAAAGAAACTAAAGTAGTATAGCCAACAGGCACAATGATGAGTCCAACATAAAGAAAACCAGCTCTAGATTCTGGTTGAATTTTAATAAACCAGGGAGTTCACTCACTCAAAAACAGAAAATGCATGAGACTTCTCAGTGTGTTTCCTATTTCATTCCCTTACCTGATTGAGTGTTCAGTTTAGAGACACAAGTAGGAACACTTTTTAGGGTTAAATTCCCAGTAATTACAAAAGTTGAAAAACATTTGAAGTGACAGTCCATGTGATTGTGGTATAAACTCTTCATCTTCAAAAACCCCTCTCTTTCTGAATTTTTGCTTGCATTTTAATGGGACACATAGATCTCCATAAAAATCCCAAGGGAGATTGTCCCCTAGTGCTCAACAAAATTGTTGTAAAAGTAAACAAGTAACTTTCCCACACCTGCACCATGAGGGATTAACCCTAGCTAATTTATATGTGTCATTTTTTCCAATCTTCCTATTCCTGTTCCTTATTATGTTTGTTCCTTATTTTCAGAATCATGAACAAAACAGATGTCAATGGCTTAATAAATTTTCATTTAAAGTCATGGGTTTCTTTATGACATTCCATACATACACATATTTTGATCATATCTTCCCCTGCTATTATCCTTTCTTATCCCCTAGCTGCTTCTCCCTTTTCCACTTCCACATCCCTAATAGACACTTCACCTGGGATCAACAAGAGAAAACACATGATACTTGCCTTTGTGAGACTGACTTAATTCACTTAACATGACGAGAATCAGTTCAAGCTGTTTTCCTGCAAATGACATTCTTTATGGCCGAGTAAAATTCTATTGTGAATATATATCACATTTTCTTTATCCTCCTATTTATTATGGGTACCTTGTCTGATTCCATAACTTGGCTATTGTGAATAGTGCCACAAAAACATGGATATGCAGGTATCTCTACTGTATGTTGCCTTTGATTCCTCTGGGCATGTCCAAGCATTGGTATAGGTCCATCATAAGCTAGTTTTGTCTTAGTATTTTGAAGATCCTCCATTCTTGTTTCTGTGGTGGCTGGTTTAGTACACAGTTCCACCAAAATTGAGAAGGGCTCCATTTTCCCCAGATAGTCACCAGAATTTGTTTCTTAAAGTTTCTTTTGGTCATATAAAGTGTTTTCTTTTTTGTGTTTTAAATTTTTATTAGCATATATTAGCTGCACAAGTGTTTCATTGAGATATTTCCACACATTCATACAATGTACCTTGACCAAATTCAACCTCTCTATCCATCCCCCACCTTTCCCGTTCTTAAAATAACTTGTTCAGGTTTCACAGTTCTATATTCATACATGGATATGAAGCACTTTGACTTTACTCACCTATTCTTCACCTTCTTCTTTTGCCCCACCACTGGTACCCACCCCTAAACAGGGCCTGTTTTACATTCATAATATATTTTTTTGTTTGTGAAAGGGCTCAGCATTTTGTTTTAAATAGATTGCACACTTTTTCCAGTCTGACACCTCTCACCATGTCAAACTAGCTTTAGCTAGCAATACTTCATTAAATACTAAAAATTAGTTTTAATTTATTTTGAGAAAAATTCTATTTTGAAATCAATTAACATTAGTCTAAAATTTAAGACAAAAGGAGGGCTAATGTTTAATGTTACTTTATACACACATTTCCTCAGACAGAACCAGGAATATAATTTTTAAAATTTATTTGTGCACACCCACTAGCACACGTGCACATACACACACACACACACACACACACACACACACACACTCACACATACTTCCAAACAACAAAATTCAGAGCATGGGAAATGAAGACATTTTTTTTGATGGTATAGACTGAAGTCAATAATTTGTCTAAATTTAGAGGGTAAGATGTTCTGATTTTCAGTCTATGCTAATGAAATCTATTGTCATGTTCAGAAATAAAAGAGTTTTGAATAGTACCATCATTTTTTACTTTAATTCTAGAAACAATGTCAAAAGATATTATTTTTCATTTTCTGTGATACAGGAGGAGAGAATCTATGGATTTTCATTTACTTGAAAATCAAAACACCTCTGGAAATAGGAAATATGCAGTTCACGTAGCTGGCCAATGTCTGAGGTGTTATCATTGTGAGATGAAGTCCCAGTCCATTTGTACTGGCTTACCTGATGCTA